CGCGTGCCAGGTTGAGACAGTAAGCGCCCCCTGCCGCTTGATTAATGAGCTGCAGGCGCAGACCCTACCTTCGTTTATATGAATTAATATTCATATTAAAATGTTATATTCCAGGCCCTATTCAAGAATCAAAATGTGCAATATATTGTGCTATAGTATTTATAGTTAGCAACTCAGCTTGAAGGAGCCCATTTACACAATGTTTATATGTCCTGTATTGCAGACAACAGATATTATTATGCTATAATTTCTATTTGCATTCAATGTTGTTTATTCTTTATTGTGCCCATTGTCTTAATAAATAAAATAAAAATAAAAAACAGAAATTGACATTATTGTTATTTCATTCTGCTTTCTGTAGACTAGACAGAAATCATGAGATTCATGAGAATCATGAGATCACTTTATTGTGGCCCCAGCAGTGATAGTGAGTCTGTGGAAAAGTTTAGAGAAAAAAAGAATTAACTAAATAAATTCAATTCAAATTGGCTTTAAATAAAGTCATAAATTATTACATTTGCTTTAAATAAATAATAAACACATTTGATTTAAATAAATTGTTTACTAAATGCTTACTGGGTGTAGGGCAGTGGTTCTTAACCAGGGGGCACAGAATTATTTTTTAAAAAAAAATTTTTTTTAAATGAAATTAAAAGGCCAAAAATATTAATAAATAATAAATTAAAAAAATTAAAAAGGCGTAAGCTGAAATCACATTTCTTTTCCTCCTCAGTAACTGTTATTTTCATTGAAAAACATAGAATCTTGAATCTTATATACTTACGAAATAAATCATGTTTTAATTTAATATATCAACACTGAATTTCTAAATTTAATAAAAAAATAAATTATAAATCTTTTTTTTTTTTTTTAAGCTGCATTGTCGTTGCACTGCAGAAATAACAGAGGAAACAGCTTAACCAAAAAGCGTCCAGAAAGGTTGAGAACCACTAGTGCAAGGTGACCTGTGGTCAGGTGACACTGTCTGAGATAAAGATGACAGTCAGCTGACTGTCCAAATCATAAAACTGGCCATTTACATACTGTAATTTTTAATAGTTAAAATAAGACTGAGAATTGCAGAGTTTTCGTCTATAAAGATGGGAAGACTCATTAAACCTTCGTGCCCCTTTAGTTTAAAAAATAAGTAGCAAAAATATCTTCTTTTTTCTGTGCTCAGCTCCCTGGGGCGGTATTTCTAACTTTAATTAATACTCTTTTTAGTTCCCACATTTTAAAAGTGGCATCTAATGCTGTTAGACTATTAGGTTTTTTAATATAAATATCTTGATGTTGCTTTAAGATTTCTTCCCTCCTTCTCTTATAATTTTCTTCAAGATTATTTGTACTGTGAGCCTTTTGAAAGGTAAAGGCCAACAGTTCAGCCTTTTCCTCTTCAGTCACTGCTTTTTCCCCTTCATCTATTAAAACTGGAATATTCTGATTTCTATAAACTCCAACCATCTTTTTAAGTACACTCCATACTTCTCTCAACTGAGTTTCATTACCTATTGTGTTACAAAATGATTGCCAATACCTCTTTTTGGCTTGCTTAATTATCTTCCTTGCCTGAGCCCGCTTCCTCTGATAAATTAGCACATTTGTAGGTATTAATGTTTTCCTAAGCTCCCTGAATGCTCTATTTCTATCTTTGACTGCTTTAGTGCACTCTTCATTCCACCAAGGAACAATCCTCAACCTATCTTTACCTTCTGATTTAGGAATGGAGTCTTCAGCTGCATTAATAATAATTGTATTTAATCTTTCAGAACATAAGTCTATATCATCGTCAGAACAATAATTCTCCATTCCATCAATGCATAACTTGTTAAATTTTTCCCATTCAGCTTTATCAAATTTCCACCTGGTTTGCTTTGTTTTATTTTGTTGATAAATTTCCATTCCAAAAGCACATATTATTGGAAAATGATCACTACCTAATGTTGAATGATCTAGGACTTCCCATCTACATTCCAATGCTATAGTTCCCGGAACTATTGTTAGATCTAGACAAGAAGTTGAAGAATCCCTTATATTGAATCGAGTTCCCTTCCCATCATTTAAACACACTAAAGCTTGTTCCTCCATAAACTCTTCTACAACCCTTCCATTCCAATCTGTGCATAAACTTCCCCACAGTGCATTATGTGCATTAAAATCCCCACACCATATTAAATTATCCCCAGCCTTAGTTCTTATTATATTCAATTCATCTAATGTTAACTGATTGCAAGGATTATAAAAGTTGACCACCTTTATCCCACCTTCCTGTGACCATACCTCTACCACAACACATTCACTCTGGGTATCTAATATTATTTCTCTAAAAGCCACTCCATTTTTAACAAAGGTTCCACATCCCCCACCATTTGATCCAATTCTATCTTTTCTAACCGACTTGTAACCAGGAATGACAAAATCTAATTGTGGATGAAGCCAAGTCTCCTGAATACAAATAATGTCTGGTAAAATTGTTAACTGATGTACAAATCTTTTAAATTCTTGGCCATTCGCAATCAAACTTCGGGCATTCCATTGTAGTATTTTCATTTAATGGTTTTACTTCTTTGACTTCCCGACGGATCACATAACACTGTGGTTCCCTCGGTTTGTCCAAGTAACGTTTGAATCTGTTCAACTGAAATTTCAGTAATACTCAAATGACGAGCAGCTGCGGATATTATGATTTTCAGCTTTTCGGTTCTTTTCGCTGTTTGAGCTGAGCAATTAATGACTTCTGCTATAAATGCCACAAAATTAATTTTGTTTACCACAAGCATGTTTCCATCCAAGAGACATTTATGACTGCATGTATCTTTAAATTGGGTTGTGTTGTTTTCCTTCAGATTTCCATTAACAGCTTGTACTTGCTTAACTGCTTGAGCATATGAAATATTTTGTACTGTTTTGTATTTCATTGCTTCTGTAGCTAGTTTTTGGGCTTTACAACCTAGAAACGCTGCACTGTGTGGACCTCCACAATTACAACATTTAGGTTCAATCCCCTCACCACATTGCCCATAATCATGATCTCCGCCACATTTGCAACATCTTCTTCTCCCTTTACAAACTGCTGCAACATGTCCCAATCTTTGGCAGTTAAAACATCTCAGTGCTGGTCTTATATACGGGCGAACCGTATAGCACATATATCCAATTTTTATGCGTTCCGGCAAGTTTTTGCAATTGAATGTTAATACAACAGTAGTACTATCTTCTTTCCTACCATTTTTACTAGACTGCAAACGCTTCACTTCTGTCACCATTTCATTCTTTATCTGTGTCTTTAATACTTCTTCAGATAAGGACACAGGCACCCCCAAGATTACTCCTTTAAGATTATCAAGTTCCCCCGGTACATGACATTTGACTGCTGCACCACCTAGTTCTTTGATCTTTAACGCATTCTCTTGTTGCTTTCTATTTACACAAAAAATGAGGACGCGATTGTTTGTTAAGTACCTTGCAGAGTTAACATTGCCTAGTACTTTCTTTATTATTTTCGTAAATTTCATTGGATTGTTGATGTTTTCGATTTTTCCGGAAAATGCTACTATTACTTTATATTCCACCTCCATTTTCCTGGTTTTGTTATTTCCTCCTATCTCTGTGATATTGTCATCCGACTCAGATTCTCTATTTTTTCGTTTGTTTGATGCGTCTGGTACCTGAGACCATCCCTCACTATCAATTATTGAAGAATCATCTTCATCATCCATACTACCTGCATCCATCCTCTCCAGTCTCAGCACAGTTGATGCTAACCCGCCAAACTGCTGCCTTCAACCTTTCTTCTTCTTCTTCTGCTTCTTCTTCTTTTGTGTTTAATGGCGGTTGGCAAACCAGCTTAAGGTGCATTTCCGCCACCTACTGGGATGGAGTGTGAGGCCTCGATGAACGAATATAACCGTTATTCTAGTTCTTCCTCTGCGTTTTGCTTGCGTGCCAGGTTGAGACAGTAAGCGCCCCCTGCCGCTTGATTAATGAGCTGCAGGCGCAGACCCTACCTTCGTTTATATGAATTAATATTCATATTAAAATGTTATATTCCAGGCCCTATTCAAGAATCAAAATGTGCAATATATTGTGCTATAGTATTTATAGTTAGCAACTCAGCTTGAAGGAGCCCATTTACACAATGTTTATATGTCCTGTATTGCAGACAACAGATATTATTATGCTATAATTTCTATTTGCATTCAATGTTGTTTATTCTTTATTGTGCCCATTGTCTTAATAAATAAAATAAAAATAAAAAACAGAAATTGACATTATTGTTATTTCATTCTGCTTTCTGTAGACTAGACAGAAATCATGAGATTCATGAGAATCATGAGATCACTTTATTGTGGCCCCAGCAGTGATAGTGAGTCTGTGGAAAAGTTTAGAGAAAAAAATCTTCCAAAATAAATAAAGAAATAAATGACAGAACTTGACATCATTACTATTTTATTCTGCTTTCAGAAATCATGAGATTAATCACAATTTAAATTGTAAAGTTTTTTGTAGAAAATTTGTAATACATTTCTACATGTTTTATTTTTCACAGTAAGCAGGCAATGAAAAAAATTATGTGGAAAATGGAAACTAAATAAAAGTGTTATATATGAATAAAATAAATAACATTACTAATTCATTCTGCTTTCTATAAACTTGACAGATATCATGTTTTAAGAAATCTGGTTATGTTTCTACTGTAGTGGTGAGTAAAAAATATATATATTTTTTTTTTTCAGGAAAGTGTTCCCTTGTCATATTTGGGGGCCACTGGCATATAACAAAAAGTTTAGAAATCCTGCTCTGGGGTACACATAGCTTACCCCTGGTTGAGAATCACTGATCTAGTCTATTTCAAGAGACTGCAAGTAAACTCAATTGCTCTCCAGTCCAATAAGGGGAGCTTGTCTGCGAGTCAGTTAACGCACCTTCAGCCAGTGTTAGAATAGAAGCAGCAATTCAGACTCATCACCTATGAAAGTTTACTTGACCTCCAGTACAGTAGGTGGCGATAATGCTCCTAAGAAGTTATTCGCCATAAAACAACAAGAAGAAGAACCAGCACTAGCAGCCGTAGTCTGTGGCACGCAGGGGCAGACTGACCCATGCTATGTATTTTCCCGTGTAATTATCACAAACTGTTGTTTTTGTGAATGGTTGCATGCCGGTGCCCGCACGATAGGTTGCAATGGCACCGGGTTGGCAAGAGATCGCTTCACTGCATGTGGAGCAGATAACGGGATATGTCAGAGAAACCCTGTCGACCGGCCTCGTCTATCTGAAGTCTGAGCTGGGAATAGACTTAGGCTTGAATCCTGATCTGTGCGCCCCATGGCTGCTCCTTTTATCGGCCTGGGGCGGTCTAGTTCTCATTCTGATTTTATGGGTCTCGGTCTGTCGTGGTTTATCAAAAAGACTTTCAGGTACAGAGACAGGAGCCGACAACACGGGTCCAGCGCAAACGGTGAAGAAGGCAGATGAGCCCCGAAGAAGGAACAGAAAGAAGAATGCTGAGAAGGTTTGTTTTAGAGGCGATTCATCTCAGTGACTCGATTCTTTTGCATCCGTTCACCACAAAGATTCACCATCAGATTCATTTACTGCGTGTTGCATCGCGACGCCTGTAGGTGGAGACAAGCGAGTCATTGAATCATTTCTCAAACGATTCGTTAAGAAACGTATTATTCAAATTATTACAATTTCGTGTCTACAAGTCTACATAAAGCTCCAGAAAGAGTGTTTAACATCATACACGGTTTTCACACCTAATAAGAATACGTTTCGTTTGTTCAAGATTGTCCGTCTCGTTCAAAAGGCCGACTGGTTCAGTGAAGGGCGTATTTATTCAGTACCAATGGTCCAACCAATGACATTGCGTTTCACATTCCGCACTCGAATGCTATTGGTTCGCGGTGTAGTTCGAACCAATAAAAGGTAGCTATTGGTTCGCGGACAGAGATACTGTCACGCGCTTCAAACTCATGAACAAAACGAGTCGTTCACTTAAAAGATTCATTTAAAAAACACCGATTCGTTCACGATCGAAATACCTGTTGACATTCAGGGTCGTTTAAATTTGTAATAATATTTCAAAATATTACTGGTTTTATTGTATTTTTTAATCAAATAAATGCAGTCTTGGTGAGCATAGGAGTATGTGTATATAATCATTTTTGTTTTCGTAAAACAGGTTCGTGGACTATTGTGGATGGACCTCACAATTCAGTTTCATTCAGTGGCGTGACTGCTGGTAATTAATTCATGAATTGAAATGAATGCATAACTAAGTTAGATTTGCTCATATTCAGCCAGGTTTCTCTGTACCACTTAATAATGTTCAGTCTCACCAGTTCAGTTATCACCATCTCAGTTTAAACACCCCAAAATGTTATAAAAACAACTAGATCATTGAAGAAAAAAACATGTAGCTCTCTGTGTTTGCAGTGCCTGACCTGAGTTGGAGTGCTCAGCCTTCTGTGCCAGTGGATGATGAGTGGTCCGGAATAAGTAAGAAAATCTAAACAAGCCCAAAACCTGTTCTGACTCACAAATTTAGAATCACATACTTACTAAGAGTTGCTGTTGTGTTCCTAAGACAGCACATCTGCAGATCTATTGTGTGACTGGAACGCTCCGTCAGAGGAGTGGGGGAACTATGTTGAGCAACAGCCTGTCAGCGCAGCGCCGATGGAGCCGCCGGTCCCAGAAGTGGCACAGGTCAGTCCATCGTGCAGCTGTGGGCCTGTGAAACACACTCCTTTTTTACCTCTCTGAATATATAATGAGAGCAAATTGAAATCAGGTTCTGACCTGGGTTGAGAATCCAGGTTCTGTTTCTACATTGATATTGATTGATTAGAGAGAAAGATTGGGCGTTGCAAAGAAAAACACATAGGACAGTAAATTGAAATTTTTTTTACACTACAAACAAACATATAGTATAACCCAGGGTTTACCAAGCTGTTGAGGAAAATCTATGTAATAAAAATGTAAAATTAAAATAAATGAAACGCTTACAAAAAAAAAAAAAGATTAAATATTTGGTTTACCTGCATGTCATGTGACCATTAACTGACATCAGAGGACTGTGAACAAGCGAAACTTTGAAATAGAGGGATAGTCCACCCAAATTGAAAATTGTCATCTTTCTCCTGTATAGCTGACTTTTTTCTGTGGAACACAAAATAAGATCATTTGAAGAATGTTGGAAACCAAATGGTAGCCATTGACTTCCATGGGTCCCCCCCCAATCCAATACTATGGAAGTCAATGGCTACCGTCAGCTGTTTGGTTACCCACATTCTTCAAACCATCTTCTTTTTTGTTCAACAGTTGAAAGCAATCCATACAGGTTTGGAACAACATGAGGGTGAGTAAATGATGACAGAAGTTTCATTTTTGGTGAACTATGATTTTACGTTCCATCTGATTCTCATTCCTTTGAGTAGTCAGACCAAGAATGAAAACTGCCTACATTTCATTTCTTTCCATTCTACAGGAGTCTGATTACGAGAAAGATAAAGACGAAGCAGGTGCCCCTGGTAGCGGTAGAGCTAAGAAGAAGAAGAAGAAGAAGAAGAAGGTGGAGGATGCTGGACCTTCTGCTCAGGTGAGGATATTGTCAGAAATCAATTCCAAATAACTGATCTGTTACTTCAAACCAATGCAGGATACATGCATTCAGCCGCAGGAGAAGGCAGAGAGAGACCCAAGCGTTGCAACACTGGCACAGAGTGCAGCGGGAAACATCTCACCTGCCACAGCAAGGGTGAGATCTGCTTTTCAACATTCATCTGGTTATTAGCAATAAAACGAGATCCTAAATTTGTGTCGACTTCTTGACAGCCACGTGTAGATGACACGGCACGTGCTGTACCATCAGCTTCGGTACTGACGCAACAGAGAATGACTGGACCTGAGCCGACTGACAAATCCACTCCTGGACCAACACAAAGTACGTTCAACCACCATATTAAGTTACATTAAGTTGTAAGATCATTCATCATTTCACATGGTTTCTGCAGGTCTTAGGTCTTAATTCACGGCATTTAAAAGGTCTTAAATCGGATTAGAAAATCTTAAATTCATAAAGGCATCACGGCATTAAATGTTGCATGCATTTCAAAAATGTTTTTGGCTCGTTTTCCAGTACAAATATCTAAACATCCCTATTTCAAGATACATTTAAAATGAAGATACAAAGTCTTGTTTTCAGCCAGTGGGGTATAGTATTTTCCCCTTTTAAATTAAGTTGATTTTTTCTGACCCCATTAGCAGATTTGTTGTTGTTTTAATCATACACTCACTTCATTTTGATAAATTTCTCAGGAAACAAGACTTCTTATCCCATGCCATTTTGGATCTCAAGTAAATGTATCTCGATTTATGAATCTTCAGACATTTGTACTGGAAAACAAGACAAAAATAGTAATATGGAACATCACTCTTTTGCAGTGTGATCAGTAGGTACAGGAAAAGTTATTTAAATATGCTTTACGTGGTCTTGAAAGGGTCTTTAAAAAGTCTTACATTCACCTTCATAAAACCTGCAGAAACCCTGATTTCAGGTTTCTGTCTTTTCTCCGCCAGAAAAAACGGACGACAGCAAGGAGTCTTCGAAACAACCAGTCAAAAAGAAGAAGGCTAGGAGAGAGACATGAAGATACAGAAGAGATGAGACAACATATGCAATCTTGGGGTTGTACAGAATTTCATACTTCCTGAGTGACTTGTTTTTTGATACCCTTGAATCCGCCGTGTTGTGAATCCCGTCCTAGTGTCTACATCCCTTTAGGTATATCTAGACAAAGTACTGTAATGTTACACGTCACACTTCATTCAGAATAGTTTCTCTTTTTTATGTATGTTAATTGCTAATTACAGTCAATTTGATATTTGTATTTGCGTAATTTTTTGTAAGAAGATCCTGGCGATCATCGCAAAGCACTGGGGACGTATCAAGATATACGCACAGGATCCACCAGGAACCTATAGATCATTGAGCTGTTACATGAGAGCGTTGTCTCATCCTTAATTTATGAAACACTGAGGCGGATTAGAGTGCATATGTGGATCAAGCCATATGTGAAAACCGAAACAGACACTAAGAGTAGATGACGCTATTATCACACAAACAACCTATTAACCGTACGCTTTGGTGAAGTAGTAGTGATGTCGGCCGGGTTTCTTGTGATCATTGTTACACCAGGTACGGCAGTGTCAGGAAATTTTCAATGCCTTAACTTGTGTTGTGCAAGATAGCAGCAACGATCTGTCAGCTGCATGCCGTTTCCTCTTTCGTATTTATTGGTTAATATAAGTCATGTTTAACGAGTATTAAAGATTAAAGAGATTCTTTGCACACCTGTGTCATTGTCTGATTATTCTGGCAGCTATTTGTTTTTTATCTATTTGGCACAAACAGTTGTTAATTATACAACTGTTTTAAAGGGACAGTTCACCCAAAAATGAAAACTGTCATTTACTCACCCTCATGCTTTTCCAGGCCTGTACGACATTATTCTGTGGAACACAAATTAAAATATTTTGATGAAAGTCAATGGGGACCAAAGACTGATTTGGAGGGTTTTTTTGTTTTGTTTTGTTTTTTAACAAAACATTTGAAATGTTCATTAAAATATAGGTACTAGTATAAGGTCTCAATTGTTAATATTAGCTAATGCATTAAAGAAAATAGTTCCCCCAAAAATAAAAAGGCATTTATTTCTCTTAAAGGAACAATTCACCCAAAAATGAAGATTTGCTGAAATTTGACTCACCCTCAGGCCATCCAATGCCCTTGTTTTTTCATCAGAAGAGATTTGGAGAAATTCAAGTCCATTTCATTGTTGTCCTCTCACATCAAAATCCATCAACCTATTTGTTTAGAAATGTGAAAAATCTTAAATGTACCTTCATCAAGTACATTCAACCTCCATGTAGAATGACTATCGGCGTTTAAGTTTAAAGATCGATTTAAAGATTATTTATGCAGGTCTTGAAAAAGTAGTCTTAATTTGCCATTACACAAAGAATATCTGTATTTTTGTCTTGTTTTCCAGTACAAATATCTAAATTATATCAAATGTCTACATTTACTTGAGATACAAAAAAAGAGTTCTGTTTTATATATAGAAATGTTTTGTATTTCGGTTGTACACTCTGCTCAATCTGTACATGTTTCTCTCCTGATTCAGACCAGACAACTTTTTCCACTGGAGAAAGCATTATTATGGATTATGCACTCGTGCAGCATTTCAGTCAGAAGGAATGGTTTGAAGTCAAAAATGTCTTAATGGATTTGATTGTTACAAAAGCACAGCTTTTTGCTTCACAATGTGTTAACTGATGGACTGGAGTCGTGTTAATTGCTTGTGGATTACTGTGATGTTTTTATCAGCTGTTAGGACTCTCATTCTGACGGCACCCATTCAATTCAGAGGATCCATTGGTGAGCAAGTGATGTGATGCTATGTCTCTTCATCGGAATGGATTTGGAGAAATTAACTTGTCTAGATCTTGAATGGCCTGAGGGTGTCAATTTCCAGCAAATTTAAATTTTCGGGTGAACTGTTTTCCTTTGAAAGGAATAAATGTTGTAGAAAAACTGTTAGCTCTTTTTAACTGTTAAATGGTTACACATTACAATAAGGTTTCAAAATACATTTATGTAGGTAAACCGATATGGGCCTTCTAAATATTACCGATATATCTAAAAAGCAGATGACATATTAAGCTGATATAAACATAATCAGATATACACAAACTTACAGAAATTAAAAGGTAATTTGGAATTGACAAAATTTGTAAGACAAATCTTATTTTATTTCTGAAGGGCTGTAAAGAGTTTTATAGCAGCAGTTTAATTCATCTTGTAACTGGTTGTAATTACAAAATCAATCAGGTGCTATAAGAATTGCACAAATCTCTAAAAACACACCAGTTACAAAACACAAGAGACATGTAGTACATTAACATTTGTTTTATTAAATCATCATAAGGCCGCTATGTAGTGTGCAGACTTCTTAAAGAGAAACAAATGCCCTGTGTTCAGAGCACTGCCCACTGAAGAACTCCAGATTACTGACGCCAGATAAGGCACATTTAGAAACATCAGATCCATCACCCCACCGGAGTAGTGTGCAGCCTGTCATCTGTACATATCAAACTATAGCATTCACGGCTGATCAACAGAGTTTTCGAAGTACCTTCTATGATGGCAAAGTGAATAGCTATCAAATATAAATTCTCAATGTGAAGAATAAACATCTCGAGTCAACCTTTACATCCCCAAATAAATCAAAAGTGTTTACAGTCATTACAGGTGATATTCTCTGTGAGCCAGCAGACTTATGTAAAGGACAGATTTAATTAACCTGACCTTTAACGACCACCTTAACCTTTCATAATTAAGAAAAAAAAGACTACTACTGTTAAGCAAAAAGAAAAAGAAAAGATGCTTGTTTAAAAAAAAAAAAAAAAGATTTTTTTGGTATCTCTGCCTCAATGACATCCAATGACTTGCTTCAATGACAAAATCACCATATATTTTTTTAAATGACCCATCACAAGCTACCAACAGCATACAAACTAGTAAAGAGGGGAGCAATACCTCCACCTTTCACATTCACACAGAGAACAGCAGCATTCGAAAAACAATGTATGATCGAGTTCTCTCATTATCATAAACGCGTATTTGAGATTCACGTATCCACACGTGCACAGATCCGTCTGAAGCATCCGTGTATCTGGTGACTGGACTGTCAGAGAGTTTGTTTCACCATGAGACTGAACAATGCAGAAGACGTTTAGAAGTTAGACAGGAACAAGGCATGGCAAATACAAGGTTAACATTACCCAGTGGAGGCCATGATTCAGTCTAATTTTCAGAACTGATATTTCTCCAAATTCATGAATGCATTTTTAAATATGAAATCAATCTCTTTTGTCATCTGTGTCAGTCAGAGGTGTAAATTTAAATGTTTGAGAATTTACCTTTTTTTTTCCAGACTGTGCCAATAATGGGTCTCATTCATGAACAACAAGCAAAACAACCCATTTGTAAATTGTTCGTAACCATTCCAACGTAAATGGTTGCACTGAATGGAATCGTTTTATGATTGTTAGCGTATACAATTAAACGTAAATGTATTCTAGAATGGTTTTACAAATATTAACACGTTTGACAATGCAACAATTTTCTTAAGAATGGTTTATGAGCAGTAGAGCATTAATTTAATGCAGCAATTTACATTAAGAATGAGTTTGATTCATTACACCAATATATGCAAGAATGGTTTTACAAATATTAGCGCATTCAACTGAAAGCAACAGCTCACGTTTATGGATGTTGGCGCATTCACTGCAATGCAACAATTTAAGAATGGTTTGTTAGCAATAGCGCATTTAATTTAATGCAGTACCCTACACAAGTATGGTTTATTACGATTGATTGTGCATTTGATTCATTACTTCCAATTAACACAAGAATGATTTTACAAATATTACAGCATTCAATTTAAATTCAACAATTTATCTAAAAAAGGTTTTACGAGCATTAGCATTTAATTTAACTTCATGCAACAATTTACATAAGAATGGTTTCAAAGTTGGTAGCGCATTTGATTCATTACACCAATTTACATAAGATTGATTTTACAAATGTAGCACATTTGATTCAAAGCAACTATGTAAAAACGGTTTTACGAACATTAAGCGTATTCGAATCAATGCAAGAATTATTTTACAGATGTTCTTAGCTCACTTTATTCAATAGGACAATTTACTTAAAAATGGTTTTACAAACAGTTTATGCTTGTGTTTTATGAGGCTGAAGGTCTTTATAAAAAGCTCGGATAACAAGGTAAGAGCATTTCTAGGAGATATCTTTGAATAATCAAATGTTGGACTCAAATGGGAATATGGGACAAAGACATAGGGGCTTCCGAAGTATGTACTTTTCACCAAGCCATCCAAATGGACACAACACGATGCGCTCAATATCTTTGAATAATCAAATGTTGGACTCAAATGGGAAAGACATAGGGGCTTCCGAAGTATGTACTTTTCACCAAGCCATCCAAATGGACACAACACGATGCGCTCTTCACTGATATGACATTCTCTGACCAAAAGGAGAAATACAGCTACATTCAACAAGCCTATTGCCTGATCCAAAAGCAAACCACACACAACCAGCCAATCATTAAAAAAAAAAATCATGCAGATAAAATACAATGTGTTGAGTAATTCGTGAAAATGAGAGGCAGCGCATTGATTATAAAAGCCAATATTATTACTAAGATAACCGAAGGCAATTATGACAATTCAGGAATAAAAAAAAAAGAACATCAGGATATGTAGAGTGGTTATTACTACCAAAGAGGCCAGTTCTGACTGAGTTACTCGAAATGGAAGATATATAACAAAATATCACTCCACCCACCTGGATAGCAATACAGTACATAATCAAAAGTACTAATTTATTGAACAGGAAATGCACCAGACTCACAGAGTAGTGCAGCAAACAATGCTGCTCATGTAGTTGATTGGCCTGCTTCACTATTTCCCCACGTGGCAAAAACACAAATTTTACCCCTCCTAAAGAGTCGGCCTGACCCACTGCGACACGTCAACCACGGGCGGCCGAAGCTACGCTCTAGTCATCATGAAAGAAACGTAAGGAGAGAATGCAGCTTGATTCTAAGGCAACAGAGGTTTTTCAATGGTGCCCATGGGCACAGATGATACATGAAGAGTCTGTCTGTCAGGAAACACATCCTTCCTACTGAGTCTGTGAAGCGTTCAGTGTGTGGACCAGCTGATGAAGTTTCTGCAGCATCCTGACTTATAAAGTGAACCAGTGAGCGCAGGATCAGAATGTCAAACTTTGGAGAAAGAGAGAGAGAGAAAGGACAGAGAATCATGGGATCACTAGATGGCACCGCTATTACAGAGAAAAACAGAAGGTCTGTGGTGCAGTAAAGGCATGATGTCCCATGAATTCACTGGCCATGTGCATGTGGGTGAAGTCTGCAGGCAGTGCGGCATTGGCGCTAAGACTTGTGCCTCTGGGATCCACAAGAATGCTGGGAGTCAGCTAAGAAGCAGCTTTTTTTTTAGTCGGGTGCAGGCCTGCCTCGGTGCCAATGTTGACCGTGATGTTGGTGTAAAGAGGCTGGTAATCCCGGGATACGATCTCATACTCCACCGTATTCATACCGTCTTCTTTCCACGTATGCCGGGTCTTAGCCAACATGTTAAACCTGCATGAGAGGAAACGGCTTGAACAGAGGAAGTTCTAGCAGATGATGCTATCATATGTTAAAGACACATTTCCGGGTCTTAGCCAACATGTTAAACCTGCATGAGAGGTAACGGCTTGAACAGAGGAAGTTCTAGCAGATGATGCTATCATATGTTAAAGACACATTTCCGGGTCTTAGCCAACATGTTAAACCTGCATGAGAGGTAACGGCTTGAACAGAGGAAGTTCTAGCAGATGATGCTATCATATGTTAAAGACAAAATGTGTTAAGGTGCAGTCATATTTAACACTGTTCTGTGAATTTCCACGGTCGAAATGCAGTCATTTCAATAGGAATCCACACAATTGGGAATTTCGCAAAATGTTTCCAAATGGAGATTTCGCAACAAGTTTGAGATTTGTTGCGTTTCCCAACAGAAACCTGCTTGGTTTATAAGTGATTTTACAAAATAAGGTAATGGACCATTTTTGCCCACTAAATTTTGCTAATGTGATCGCACCTTTAGAATGTTAATGTGCAGATTTCACAATCAAAGACTACAGAAAGACACTGAAACATTCTGTCATCACAAGTTGTTGTCTATTTATCAGATGGTTGTCAGGTGATTCTACCTTTTGGGATTGACTTCATTGCCTTTGTCGTGCTTGTGTTTGATCATCTTATATCGGCCCACTTTTAGAGACGGACGACTGATTAGCATTCCTCCAAGTGAGACACTGAGAAGATGAAGGAAGTTACAGTGTTGCAAAAAAGCAGAAGGTTACTCAGGATTGGGTTGGGAATAAATCTGAGGAACTGGTTCCCTTTCAATTCATAAGTGTCAATTTAATTGAATAGGCCACACCTCACAGGAAGCTGCATTGCAATTTCAATCTGAATAAAATTCGGTGAATTCCTCTACATCACATTCTGACAAATTCAGCACAAGTAATGCATTCTAGGAAGTGAGGCGTTCTTTCACTCTGGTCCACAAAAGTTAATTTAGTAAATGTGATAAAATACACTAACATTCAAAAGTTTGGGGTGAGTAAGATTTTTTTTTCATTTTGAAAGAAATGAATACTTTTATTCAGCAAGGAAGCATTAAATTGATCAAAAGTGAAGACATTCATATCCCGGTTTCCACGAAAATATCAGCAGCACAACTGTTTTCAACCTTGATTATTGATAAGAAATGTTTCTTGAGCACCAAATTAGCATATTAAAATGATTTCTGAAGGATCATGTGACACTGAAGGCTGGAGTAATAAAGCCTGCTGAAAATTCAGCTTTACAATCACAGGAATAAATGGCATTTTAAAACATATTGAAATAGAAAACAGTCATTTAAAACGAAATAACGTTTAACAATGATACTGTGTTTTTGATGAACACAGTTAAAAAAATCTTACAGATCTCAAACTTTTGAACACAAATGTATACAAGCTAAATACAAATTATTTTTAAACTTTTTAAAAAGGCTTTGTCAAGCCAACATTTCAAGTCTTTGGCAAATTATGCTTTTCAAGTTAAAAAATGTCACCTATCTGAATTTCTTTTTAATTGTACAGCATAACTATACAGTACATTTTATATATATTTTATTCGATCCTTTGCACGTGGCCTAGCTTGTGAGCCATGACTCAGCTATAATTTTAGCAAACATCAGTCCACACAATCCGCCTCTATAAAGCAGACAGTAATAACTGTCAGATGTGGACACTTTAGCTTTGAACTAGAGAAGCTAGAAAAGACAGGTGGTTCATGGCCAGCTGTGTCACAAAGACAGATGTCCTCCCACACAGACCTCTCCATTAATCTACACACACACAAATCATCTGTGCACACACTCAACCCCTCCAAAGCAAATAAACACAAGATCCCCCGTGCTCACTCACCGGACACCAATGTCATCGTCCTCACCACCCCAGCCCCAGTAATTGTTTGGGAAACCATTCATTTTGAGGTACTGAACAGGGGTCAGAGCCGATACTCCTCCAAAATACATCTTATAAGGCAACCTGATTGACAACAGGCAGGAGAAATGCACAACAATATAAATGTAAAGTAATTCATACTTTTAAATCACTTTAGTTCAGTGGCATATTGTTTTTTGTTTTGCGACTGTTATTCAACTATAAGCATTTTATTGTTACATGAGTTTGTTTTTATTACAGATTTCACTTTTTTGTTGTTTGAAAGTCACAGTAATGCATTCTTGGAGACCTCTTATGCCATCATTTATTTTTGCTACTTTTTAAAATGCTTTTAATAAATAGATTTTGTGTGGAATTTAATTAAAAATATCATTAAAATATTACATTTTTAGTGTACATAAAAGGGTAGCTTACAAATAGTTTTATTCCACAATTGTTTATTTACTCCACAAATACATGTGATGTAAATTGATCTGATAGTTTATCATGCATATTAGGGCTGCACAATATAATCGAATTTCTAATCGCTATTACAATTATGGATGCCACAATTACGTAATCGTTCAAAGCGCCAATTAATCGTTCAAAGTCCATTTATGTTATTCTGTGCGCTTAAGATATGTTTTTTTCTTTCTACATGTTATCTTAAGGGTTTTTCCATTGTTTTAGTTTTAGTATAACATTATAAACATTCATATTTTTACTTTTTTTATAATTTAAAGAAGAACCAATCCGATGTATATTTGACATTTGAGGCTTAATACTATAGAAAAGCACTAAAGGTTTTTCAGTTAGTGTTTTCAGCTTGTTTATTTTCATATAAAAATACGGCATGCAGTTGCATCAAACAATGGTATAAACATCATTCAATGTAAATTGTGATAATCGTAATTAATAATCGCAATTACAATTTCAAGGGAATAATCGACAATTATGATTTTTGTCATAATCGTGCAGCCCTAATGCATATGTGCATAATCTATGTGCAAGTGTTGAAGTGAAATGCAGGCAAATTAAGTCTAATTAAACGCAGCTAGAGAGCGGGCAGAACACTGACTTGTAGCCAAATTTGTCCATGGCAATGGCAGCGTGTTTGGGGTGAGCGTCGCAGATGTAGGTGTTGCGGTCATCCTCGGGAATGAGGTCCACGTCATGAAAGAAGAGACAGTCCCAGTCCTCTTCCCTCATGGCTTCGCGAAATCCCACGTTCATCAGCTTTGCTCGGTTAAAGGTGTAATTACCATCCTACACACAGACCGTTATTGTTATTGAACAATTTATGATGATAAGAACCTAACATACAGATTTAAGCTATTATTTAGTGTCTGTAAAAACAAATGAGTCCATATAAAATCCAATTACACAAATACTGATAAAACAAAGCATACAAACTCAGCTGTGCAGTCTGTAAATCCTCCTGAGAACCAGAAAACAAGTTTTGAGAATTTGTTGGGTTTTTTATGTCATTACATTGGTTGGAGCATAAGAAACAAATGGAGAAAATACATTTTTGAGAAAAAAAATAAAAATAAATTCATATTTTATTCTATGTCCTTTGTAGAGGACGCCAGGACTGTTATTAAAAAAAAACAGACATGAAAAGGCATGTATAGGCAAAAACAACATTTCATTTTTTCATTCACCAATCAGTTTTTAGGTTTCAGGCTATTTAGCCAAACTTTGTACAAAGATGGTTCTCAACTATGTTATGAAAGATATAACAGAATGATTTGATATAGGCTACCACTGTACCATAAATTGGTATTCCCATTCTATATAATCTATCCATACACTGCATCTAATTTGCAAATTAATGTATCCTTGGGGCAAACCATAATGAAAAAAGAAGTGTAATAATGGGAGTAATAACTTGGCATCATTTTCATAAGAATATCTCATATTTCATCGGAATATTGATCTATATTCTCTAGGGATGTAACGATTCACTCAACTGACGATTCGATTCACGATTTTGATTTCACGATTCGATTTCCTCACGATTTTTTTAACAAAATGAGATTGAAGAAAAGGTGTCGTTTTATTAGGCTATTGCTGCACGTTTCTTTGTGAAACTGAAATATGGCAAAACTAAATTGAAATTTTAAAACAAACCCCAAATCAAACAAGTTACACAAATCAAAGAAATCTCTTAATATGAACAAACTAAGGCTTTGTCTGTGCTCTTTCCATTTAAAAACAGAATGGTCTGACTTTAGTTTGGTGAAACTATACTACATAAAACATATCTGAACGAAACAGCAGACGAGCTGAATGAGACGCAGTTTCACTCTCTGACAGCAGGTGGCGCTTATGGAACAGCAATGATACAGTGTTTCCAGGCTTACCGCTGTAAACAAAGCAGAGCTGCTACTACTTTAATATGCATTGTTCAGAGGCAAGATGAAAAGAAAATACCACGTTTCTAAAGATAGTCAGTTCCGCTCAGAGATACATTCATATAAACTCCTACTCCAATTGTATCACGATTTGTTTGGCATCTCAACCGATTTTCGACCGGCTCGCGGTTAATCGTTACATCCCTAATATTTTCTTTCCTATTGATTTGTTGTGTTTCCCCAAAATGCCTGATTAACATGCCGTTTGTCCTGGTGTCCTCTACAGAAGACATGTATGAAAATTATGCCCCGTTTCGTAACAAAAAGTCATATTCCGATTTGAAACCCCATAACATTTTTCTGAGATGTTTATTTACGACAAACAATTTGAAAATTAGCCAGATTTAAACGATATTTACAAAATATTATCATATTTTCCTAAGAGTGCTAAATTTCATCATTCTGTCAATATCAGTCATTTTTAAAGAAAAAGGAGAAGGTGTGTTTATGATTAGGGATGCACCGATACCACTTTTTCCAGTACTCGCCCAATACCGATACTTTTATGTTTCACTTTCACCTGAAAGTCGTGTATGCCTAAGGTTGCAAATACATGATGTTTATAATGAATGCCCCTATAAATGGTCTTATTTTTACGATTTAGTTTTAATCCAAATGATGCGTGTGCTAAGTGAGTGAACATCAAAGATCACACAACAGAAGTGCGCGCGCTCTCTCTCTCTCTCTCTCGCTCTCTCTACTGTTCAGTTACTTGTGCATTGTTTTACTTACTTGTTTTTGACATATCCGATCGAACTACAAACTTTCCAGTGATGTCTGTGAGAAAGATATATTCACTCGACAAGCTCGCGCATCCGCGCCGCCGCGCGCTCAATCCACTCAGCGTGCTTTGCTTATCAGCTCGCGCACATCAGCTATACAGCCGTTAATACTGAATGTTTAACATTATATCCATTGCATACATATACTTCTCGCGCATCTGCGCCGCCGTGCGCTCAATCCACTCAGCGTGCTTTGTTAATCAGCTCGCGCACATCAGCTATACAGGTGTTAATACTGAATGTTTAACATTATATTCATTGCATACGTATACTTCGTAGTAGACATCCTTAACTCCATTCTGCTGTCTGTTGTTGGTGTTTCTTTGTTTGAATATGGCGCTTAACACATGCTGTGTGGTATCGGCGTTTGGTATCGGGGCATTTTAACGAGTACGAGTACAGGAGACCAGTATCGGGCCCGATACCGATACCAGTATCGGTGCATCCCTATTTATGATCAAACCTCCAAACATTTGATATCTCTAAGAAGCCCTGAATGTGCTCTGTACAGGACATCCAGACATAACTGTGGCATGTAGGGTCTCAGAGAAATTCACTAAAACATAATGTCCTCTACGGAGGACAAAAGTCTATGCCTGGGTCCCAGGAGGATATACATTTATACTCATAAAAATGGTCTGAATCTATAACGTGGTCAGGATTTTCAGAGCAGATTAATAAGGATTACAGTCTAATCCTTGGCCTATTGACGTGAAGTGGGAATATCAAAGTCAGGAACATAAGAAAGTAGATGATTTTCTTTTCATGGTAATGCATCGTTTTGAAGTCCATGAACGGCATTTATTTGAAATAATTTTTAAAAATGGAAAACCTCACTTCACTGTCACTTTTAAAGTGTTATTTTAGTATGACTGACATTCCATTAAAGTTTTTGTTCAAATTTAGAATTATTTTCCTTCAATATTTTATATAATTAATTGTAATATTTTAATTGTAATTTTACCTAAAGTTTTAGTAATTTTGTTGTGTGCTTTTGTTATTTTTAGTTGTTTTTAGTAGTCTACACAAGTTATTGATTTTTATTTCAGTTTTAGTTATTTTAGGACATCAAGTTGAACTAAATAAAAATGAAAAAATGTTTTATGATTTTAGTTTTACATAGTTTAGTTAACTATACTTTTAATCAATTTAACGCATCCTGAGAAATAGAAATAGAAATTCTATTTCTGAAAATACTTTGATTGCTGAATCAAAGTATTATATATGTATATTTTTATATACGAGTCTGATTGAATTACAACAGGACAAAAACTGTGACCAAATAAAAGTAGGATTTCAATCTCATTGAGCTTCACAATTCAGCAAAAACAAATCTGAGCAACAACAATGCAACTCAAAACTCAAAAGGAAATTTCATCCCGTACATCTATAATCCTACATGAAACTGTATTAACCCAGGAAGCCAACAATAATAAAACCAGACAATAAAGCCTGGGGAAACAGGTCTGAATTTGGCACGTTGTATTAAGATCATTTTTGTTCACTAAAATGAGAGATCAGCTGGAGGGGATGGTTGACCTGTCAGAGTGAGTTGTAGTTTTGCATCTAGATCTACAGGATAAAGTGATTACAACTGACTGACAGGAAACAGGAGGCGGCACAGTTGAGTTGCACTATAATAGAGCTGCATATTTAATATGTAACTAAGCAACAAATACATCTTTGTACAATATGTGAAACTGTGAGAGCACGGTCTAAAATTAACACCCACCAGGTGCCAACTGAGAATACAATTTGCTTTGGCAACCAAATAAAATTGACAATGTATGGTTTAATCTAGGGTTTAATGTAAGAATGATAATCTGACCTTTGTTGACTAGAGTGAATCAAATGACAAAAATACAAATCATCTAGTAGAGGAAAGATCAGAGATTTTTCAGAAAACCCTGTGATTAACAGTTTTTCCTGGAAAATGTACCAATAGCAGCTTAAAGGGTTAGTTCACCCAAAAATGAAAATTAGGCTGCGTTTTACTCACCCCCGATGCATCCTAGGTGTATATGACTTTCTTCTTTCAGACGAATCCAGTCGGAGTTATATTAAAAATTGTCTTTGATCTTTCAAGCTCTATCGTTGCACTCAGCGGGTGTTGCATTGCTTCTGTCCAAAAGACGTGAAATAAAAAGCACCTTTCCATAAAAAAAAAGTGTCTCACACGGCTCCCGGGGG